TACAACTTCAGGTGGAGTGCCTCCTAGAGCAAAACAGCATAGCTCTTCCAAGCAGTGCACCCAGGTTCTGGAGCCCTTGTATCTGCAGTAGGAGTGTGGAAATGCAGGTGGGGTTGCATAGTGACCAGCTGTGGACACTCTTGATGAGTAGTCCCCTGAGAGGCTGGCAGCCGAGGGTCTTGCTAACTTCAGGGAAAATTACTGTTATTTTGGGCACAAATGCTAGAGGTCAATATTTGTCCTCAAATAGCAAGAACAGGTTCTAACTCTGGGCCCCCACACAGAAGCCAAAGGGAGTAATGATTACAGACCCAGGCATGGACATCACACTTGAGTGTATTTATATACGTTGTCTGATTTGTTCCTCTAACAGTCCTGCGAGTCAGGCAGTGCAAATTCCACCTATCCCCACTTTACAGAAGGGAAGATTAGAGCTTGCGAGATTAGTTACTAAGTAGATAAGAAGTGGTAAAGCCAGGACAAACACCTCCCTAGACCCAGGCTTCCAAACGCTAATACATGTGCTCTTTCTCTCTCCCCAGCCCCTGCCCCCTCCCAGGGGCTCTCTTTCTCTCCTCCCCACTCTCTCTAAGAACATCCAAGTGGGATAAGCACAGTAAGGCAAGAACAAAACATTTTTCAGGACAAAGTAAGGTCTTCTCTCCCAACAAGTATGATTCCTGCATTTCTGATTTTCTTTTCATTTTAAAAGAACGTGAGATGATGACATCTGATATAAAACCCTTGGCTCCCCCAGGGAAAGATTTTTAATACAACTTCTTGAAGCAAACATATCTTTTTCACCTTCAAACACCACCAATAGTCACAGTCTGTCTGTGGTGTAACAGTCTAAAGCATGTTCGGGCATCCTCTTCACGTGGCTGACTTCCACAGGCGTAAGGCATGGGAGACAGGGCAGAAAACAGCAAGTGGCAGATCACTTCTGAAATGAGCAGACCAGGAAACAGGAGCCCAAAAAGTAAAACAACTTGTCCAGGTTCCTAGGGAGGGTTAGTGGTCCGGGCTTCTGGTCTACCACACACTGCCTCCCAGCTATGACCGTTGGGCTGGCAGAAACCACCAGATGCGACTACTGAGATGGGGCTTTGGAATTTTCCAAAGCTTCCAAAGTTCCTTGTTGCCATTACAAATTATGCAGTGTGACACATGGATGCATTTGTGCATAAACAAACCTAAAGATAAAACTCAGGAAAATGGTCAGAAAGAGCGGGGCAAGCAGCAGAGACTGGGTGGTATCCAGTGGAGTTTTTAGGGATGAATTTGGAGAGGACACGAATGAAGTGGAATTTGGAGTGTGTAGGCAAAGGGAAGAGTCCTTGCCAAGGCCGGGAGCTAGAAAGTGGTTGTGGATTGCAGGGAGCTAGACCTGAGGTGTGAGTGGAGAAGAAAGAACCATCGGTCCAGGGCCCCGGCTGAAGACAAGGACTGCATGCTCACTTGCTAAAGGAGCACTGGTGGATTTCAAGCAGGGAGTAGCCACGTCAGGTTTGTGTTTTAGATCAGGACTATTTCATGATAAACCTTCAGGGTTGCAGGTGAGGCTTGAAGCAGGTGGAGGCAATGTTAATAGTCCCCTAAGTAGAGTGCAGGGAGGGAAGACCAACTTTAAAATATGCAAAATATCAGGGGCCGAGGAAGAAAGAAGAGGTGGTGAGCAGGGTTTCTGTGGAGAGGTCAGGACGAAATCTGCCAATCTGGGCACTGCCAGCCATTCCTGGAAATTAGGGACATTGTTGTGGATGACAATACTCAAAGAACATAGAAATGGCAGATCTAGGAAATGTCAACACAGCACAGGGACTGTTGTGTGAGGGATCTTGGCTAAATGGGCTTATGTTTGATGGGCCTTGAGATTTCTGGGAGAGCAGAGGTTGTGGATAAGGGGAAGAGATTGGCTCCATCTAAATCCTTTCCCGGCATGTCACACCCTTCCCTGGGCTTCCGTTTCCTCAACTGCATGTCTATGGCATTGGACTCGACAATCTCTAAAAGAATCACTTCCAATTCTAATATGCTATAATTCTAAATTTCTTCCCAGTAATGTAAATCCAACAACCAGGAAATTTGCTGTGAAGGAAACTCTTGGCTTCAGAATAAGGAGAATTTGCTTGGGACCAAGAATGAAATGTAAATGCTTTATTGGATATACATGTCGTGTAACTGCAAACATCAACTTTCTGATAATGAGGAAGGACAGAAGGAGTTTAGAGACATCCAATAGAATAACTAAACTACTAACACCAAAACATATGCCATGATTTCCACCATAAGTTATTATATAGATGAGTCAGTCTGGGAGAGCTGTATTTAGGATTTTAGGAGCCTCTCCCCACTTAATGTCAGAGGATTCCATTTAACTACAGGGAAAAGGAAATTGCTGGTCCAGGCGGTATTTGACTTCTCCAGAACTAAGCTATCCAGCCCATCTGAACAAAAATAGCTGCAAGGACCACCCACTGGCAGGACTGGGACCCAGAATGTAGCAGGGTCCTTAGGTCACAAGAGATAAAGTGGTCACACACACACACAAGAAAACAGACACACTAAGCAGGGCTTGTTAAGAATATGATGCCTGGAATCTGGACACCTGTGGTTTGGTGTTGGGAAGGGGGGGTCTCACTGCTGGTGCCATCAGAAGAGGGTCAAGCTGAAGAGGTCTGTGATCTAGCATGAGGACTGATGGAGCATGGAGCCAGAAAATGGGGAAGTCAAGTCACAGACCAGGACATGAGGAGAGCCGGGACACAAAGAGAGCCAGTACAGCTAGAGGGATTGACACAGCAGATCTGGGCTACGAGGGGAAGCTGAGAGTCAGCGACGGGACACACAGGGACAGAACAAGCTCTAGGACCAGCTTCACTGGGTCTCTGACATGGAACAGCTTTTATGCCTGAATTGTCACAACCTGCTGGGGTCGACTGGTGAGCAGCCGCCGTGCACACTCACATGAACCAGCATTGTGTGAGAGGCTCCTCTCTGCCTGTCTTATTCAGCTCTGTGACATGACACTTAGCCTCTCTACTGGCCTGTGCCATGCTGTTTCTCTGCATGTTGATATAACCCAAGTGGTGGGCTAAATATCACAGGCCAAATGCCACAGCAAGGAGGTTGGTAGATTACAGCTCTTTAGCTCCTTCTGTTCTCCAGGGCAATTATTAGTTTAAGTAAGAGGTGGTGTCCTGATTTCGTTGTCATGAATACAGGGCCGTGGAAATCAAGAACACTTGCCAGGTGCGAAGGTGTTTGTTGCCATTCAGTCAAAGCATACCCTTCCAGTGTGAGACTAGTGTCACAAGGAGGATGAATAATGACCTTGCTAACCACACTACAACACCCAAGCTGTGACACATCAATTCAATTGTTAGCCAAACCGTTATACTGCGCTCAGCATTGTACCAGGGACAGGGGGAGAAGTAAATACCACCCTGGCCTTCTAAGCACTAAAATGTTCATGGCAGAGGGGCTGAAACACAGCAACATGAAACCATGAGCAAACCTCATAACGACGACATGGGAAAGAATACTACAGTCATCCATACACGAAAGGTCAGAAAAAGAAAGACAACAGTATAAAATAACAAGATAATGTGTTCTGCCTGTTGATTTCACAAAGATTAGGGAGCAAAAATGCTAGTGCCACTGGCAAGTTGGCAAGAATGCAAGGAACTGAACAATTTTGTATACTGTCAAGTACAACCTCTGTGGGGGACAACTGAGCACTCTATGTCAGAAGTTTTAATGTTTAGACTTTCTGACCAAGCCATGCCTCACCTCAGGATTTATCCTCATAAAATAACTTGCACAGGCCAAGCACACAACTATATGAGTTCCAAGATGCTCATCCCAGTGTTTTTTGAAGTAGTAAAAAATTATAAGTAAATTAAATAGGATGTGATAAAAGAAATGATGATATAACCCTGATGAATACTATGCAATCATTTTAAAAAGATGACGTATTCTACCATTATTGACATAGAAGAATGCGTGATATGATGTTGAGTGAAAACGTTGCTTCGATACAAAAGGTGTGTAGTAAAGATACTTATCTCTATGAAAATAGGATCCTATTCCCATATCTGTAAATATGCACAGGTAAAGAAATAGGCCTAGAAAGCAGTCACCAAAATGGAACCATGATTTCCTCGGAATGACATTAGATTTATCATTTTTAATTTTTTCTGCAGTTTTTATATAATGAACATATTTTAGTTTCACAGAAAAACAAGGCTGCAAAAAAAGTATAATAATGGTGGCCAATGTTTCAGTTACTACATATGTTAGCAACAAAAAGAAATTAAACCCAAAGAACTGTGAAGAAATTAAAGAGAACTTTTCAGTAGAGATGACCAGTATTCTTAATAGCTCCAAAGCTATTTTTTAATTAGGACAGATTCCATTTCTGTATGTATTATTCTGGCTCCCAAACTCAGTGGGTTATAACTTATATCCCAGTTAAATGTGTTCAGCCCAAAATCAATAAGGTTATAAACCATCAAAACTTGTGACTTTTAAAAGGCTCCAGGAACCCAAAAAGTAAGACAAAGAAAGATGTATAAAATCTATTTAGTTTTTTTGGAAAGAAGAAACCAAATGACTACAAAAATATCAGCTCCAAAAATACCAAGAAAGCTTCAATGGAGGAAAACAGAGGAAAAAGATTTGGCATGTGGATGTCAAAAATCCAGTGTCAAAGGGGTTTTGAAACTGGTCCTGCGTCACCAATTAAATATATCCAAGATGAGTGTGACAGATGCTCATTTCCAAGAGCAATGGGAAGCTTTTTAATGCCCTCAAAATCTGTTTTCTGTGACTGACTGATAATATAAATGTAATGTGGTTTTTTTTATCCTTTTGATTCTTGGAAACCAAATACTGACCTAGGAAAAAGAAGGAAGAGCGATAGAGTTGGAAATGACAATTAGATCAATTCTTATCTAAGACATGTTTTATAGATAATTGTCTTTTCTTCTCACCTACAGGAAAAGCACAAAGAAGAAACAGCAACAATGGCCAAGCTGACAGAATCCATGAGTGAGTAGCTTCAAATTTATTATTTATTCTTGTTTTTGAATGGGAAAATGCAAAATCGCACAAAGAAGACGTCCGTGTGATGAGCTGATGTGTCCTTCTCTTTCGCTCTTCTGGATCTGTTTCACACATACTGCACCATGTTGATGTTACTTTATGCGTTATTCGGAATTCGTCTTGCTTGAGGTTGAGTTCTGTGCTGAAGCTGTTACCCACAGTATGGAGCTGAAGAATAAAAATAGATTTATTTGTAACACTGCATTGGGGATTGGGACCCATAATAATTTCAACCTTTTAGAAGGTTTAGTCAAAGTCAGCTGAAGTTTTTTCTGGGCATCTATTCCATGGGCTGGATGATCTAAAGAGAGGAGAGAATGATAAATCATTGTTAAACCTTTCAGTTGTCGTTCAGAAATTCCAGACAGAACTATTAAAAAATAGAGTGCTTGCAGTGCCAATAGTACCTGGTAATGATTTAGATTTTGATCATAGTGTTACAGTGCTCTAAATCAACAGGATACACAAAGCATTTTAAGAGGAAAGGGGGCCAGGCACAGTGGCTCATGCCTGTAAGCCCAGAACTTTGGGAGGCCAAAGCAGGTGGATCACGTCAGGTCAGGAGTTCGAGATCAGCTTAGCTAGCATGGTAAAACCCTGTCTCTATTAAAAATACAAAAATTAGCTGGGCTTAGTGGCTCACACCTTTAATCCTAGCTATTTGGGAGGCTGAGGCAGGAGAATCACTCAAACCCGGGAGGTGGAGGTTGCAGTGAGCCGAGATCACATCACTGCACTCTAGCCTAGCCCACCGATCGAGACCTAGTCTCGAAAAATCAAACAAACAAAAAAAAGGGACGTGGAATTCGAAGCTTCCTGCAAATGAGAAGTGCAATTGTCTATGTCGAGGTCTAAATATTAGAGACTATGTGAATACGAAACAAACCATGAAGGCATATTTTTTCCTTTTGAAAAACAGAAATTTAGGCCGGGCACGGTGGCTCAAGCCTGTAATCCCAGCACTTTGAGAGGCCGAGGCGGGTAGATCACGAGGTCAAGAGATCGAGACCATCCTGGTCAACTTGGTGAAACCCCGTCTCTACTAAAAATACAAAAACTTAGCTGGGCATGGTGGCACGTGCCTGTAATCCCAGCTGCTCAGGAGGCTGAGGCAGGAGAATTGCCTGATCCCAGGAGGCGGAGGTTGCAGTGAGCTGAGATCACGCCATTGCGCTCCAGCCTGGGTAACAAGAGCGAAACTCCGTCTCAAAAAAAAAAAAGAAAAAGAAAAACAGAAATTTCTCCTGGTGATAGATTTCACATGTAAAGTTACAAGGGAGGCTCACCAACACTTCTCCATGAACACCTTAGGAAATCTGGTCTGCAAAAATTAACCACGAATGTTGCCCATGTTTAACTATGCACCTTCCTCCTCAAATCATGAGACTATAATCTGTAGCATAGTAAGCGAACTTTTATTTTAAAATATTCACTCATCCCAGAAAATACGGCATTAAAAAGTTGTTTACATTGATTTCCTTTCATTCCTGACCCCAAACCTCTGTGTCATTTTATAAAAGTCTTAAACACATGCCAATTTACTTTGATAATTCAAAAAGGACTGAGTAAATTTTAAAAAAAAACCCTCAGAACTGACACCCCTCTCCCCTGCTCTTATTTCTGTACCATCTCCTGCCCTGCTCTCAGCTCTTTTTTCCACCTGTAGTCTTGCAAACTGAAAACGTTAAAAGAATTGACGCCTTGGTTTGAGGAACCCCAAACTGGCTATGTTAGTCTATTCTTGCACTGCTCTAAAGAAATAAGTGAGACTGGGTAATTGATAAAGAAAAGCGGTTTCATTAGCTCCACAGTTCACAGGCTGTACAAGAAGCATGGTGCTGGCATCTAATCAGCTTCTGGGGGGGGCACCAGGACACTTATAACCATGGTGGAGGGCAACTAGGGAACAGGCATGTCTCATGGCCAGAACAAAGGAAGAGAGAGGGCAGGTGCCACACACTTTTAAACAACCAGATCTCTGGAGCACTCACTCCCTATCACCAGAGCAGCACTGAGGGGGAATCCACCCTGACAATTGAATCGTCTCTCACCAGGCCCCACCTCCAACATTGGGGATTCAACATGAGATTTGCATGGGGACACACAGCCAAACCACGTCGCTGGTTCTCTGTAAGTGAAAGCATCCGAAAATGATGAGATGTCCTCTTCTCACACCTGGAATGAAAGAGTGTGGCCAGTGCCATCACAAAATGGACCAGCCTGTATTGTTCAAATATGGAGTAGAACATGGACCTTATCAACAAATTCATAATCCACAGCACACGAGAAGATTTCAATCTAATCTCTAAGTCCAAATTCACCGAAACAAATGACCACAGGTTATCTGAAGGACAGGAGGATCAGTGGCTTAGAACCTAAGCATCGTTGTCCATGATCTGAGTCTCAGGTGTCTGGGTGGATTAAATCAGATGCTGTTGCTCGTGAGTTATGATGCTAACAGCTTTCTCAAGGCTTCTTTTAGAAATTGATAATCTAGTTCAGTGAATATTATTTTTTAACTCACCTAACTGAATTGTAAGGGTACTGAACTGATTAATATTTCTGATGAAGGTATTTTAATTTTTCCTTCTACATCGGTTTCCAGATACATTTAAATAAGAGCTCTTCACCTGACTACCAATTGATTTATTGGTTTTAAGTTTCAGGTTTGCCTGGACAATATTTCTAATGATTTTGATCTGTGAATCAACCGTCTTAAAAGAATTATATCAAAGTTGAATTCTAAAACCTTGGGTAGATGACGGAGAATAGTCATTCTTCCAATGTGCTCTGTTGTTATGAAAAAGATCACATAGATGTTTTCAATGCATAAGGAAATTTAAAAGTCGAGAACAGACCTTAGATTCACGTCCAGTGTACCAGTTTATTGGTCCTTACAAAGATCCAGCACATTAGAAAATATAGAAGATGTGGGGCAATTTCTTTAGATGCTATGAAATGCTAATCATGTGGCCAACATATCAGACATTTCATTTAAATTAAACTCGTGACTAATTAAATATACCACACACTTATTTTACATAGAAATCTACAATGAAATGCATAATTAGGTAAGGAGATTCCATCAGTAAGCTGAGCAAAGAATTAACATATAATTACCACACAATAAAATTGATGGGAACATAAGCCATGGCCACACTCTGGAAAAAGAAAAAACACAGACAGAACCGTGAATACCCAAAACACAGTGATCCGAATGGGTTTCCAGAGCTAATAAACACTTTGCTTGTTAAACTGCCAAGCAAAAACCATCTGGTTACTAGAACATCTCTGTGTCAAACTAGAACTGGATAGAGATTCTCCTCCCATCACCCTAGGTGTCCACATGCTAGCAAATGGCTGGCCGCATCAATGCGAAGCAAAGACTGTAATGGGAAAGGAATGTCTTCTTCTAGAGCAGGGAGGAGGTGCATTTCTTTCCGCTATGTGCCATTCATCAGCCACCTCCAAAAAGTCAACGTCCCTCATTTTTTAAGGGCAAGCAAGAGATAGATTTTAAATGTTTGATTAACATTAATAAATGTTAAATGTTTGATTAAAAGCAGATTTATTTTTATGAGGACTTTGCTGTGAACAAAATGAAAGCAACTTTAATAAATAAAAAATAATACTTTAAAATATTTTAGGTCACATTGTTGAAAGGAGGATGGCCATGATAAGGATAAGGCAAAAAATGCAGAAAGGAAGAAAAGTAAATGTGGAAGAAGAGCTAGAGAAACAACAAAAACACAAAAGAAATATAGAGAAAAGATAGGTATGGTACATGAGGAAAGCTCAGGAGAAGGGGGTGTTAACGGGGACTGAGACAGAGTTACAAGGAGCAAAAACAAGACAGGTAGGCAAAGAGGGAGAGGAGGAGGGAGGAAAAGCTTTTTTTTTTTAAGATGGAATCTCGTTCTGTTGCCCAGGCTGGAGTGCAGTGGCACAATCTCAGCTCGCTGTAACCTCCGCCTCCCAGGTTCAAGTGAGTCTCCTGCCTCAGCCTCCCAAGTAGCTGGGATACAGGTGTGCACCACCACACCTGGCTGTTTTTGATATTTTTAGTAGAGACAGCGTTTCACCATGTTAGCCAGGCTGGTCTCAATTTCCTGACCTCCTGATCTGCCCCGCTCAGCCTCCCAAAGTGCCGGGGTTATGGAAGCCACCGTGCCTAGCCAGGAGAGCTTATAACAGAGAGAGGTTCCATTGGATCTAAACATTAGCAAACTACGTGTGCTAGTTCACAGCCCAGGAACTTTCAAGTTTCCAAAGGCTGGCAAATTTTTAACACTATTTTTTGAAATGTTAATCTCTGTTTGCATCTTCACAATGAATATGTTCATATTTAGACTACCAGAAGCCGTGTTCCAAATGGGGCAACCAGAAAGCTGACGCTGGAGGGTAAGGGTTAGGGTTAGGGTTAGGGTTAGGGTTAGGGTTAGGGTTAGGGTTAAGGTTGTTAGGGTTAGGGTTAGGGTTAGGGTTAGGGTTAGGGTTAGGGTTAGGGTTAGGGTTAAGGTTGTTAGGGTTAGGGTTAGGGTTAGGGTTAGGGTTAGGGTTAAGGTTGTTAGGGTTAGGGTTAGGGTTAGGGTTAGGGTTAGGGTTAGGGTTAGGGTTAGGTTAGGATTAGGGTTAGGGTTAGTTTAGGGTGACTCTAGGCTTGCCCACTGGTAACCAGCACTTTACCACTCCACCCGCTGACTGAAATGAAACTGAAAGCCTGACTCTAGTTGAGGCTTCCAATGTTGTCTATAAACAGGCATACAGTGACCCAAACCATGCCATCATCAGATGTGACACAGCTTAGCAGACCCTGCCCTGACATCTCAGATGGTGACAAATTAGGGATGTGCAGAGGCAGGCAAATGGCTCAGGAATGCTGAATCACAGGCTGCGTGGAACACTTTGCAGGCTGTTCATACATAAATTTCCAAAGGTTATTTTCT